ACTAAAATTGTGACAATCTGTATTCTTGCAATTAGAAGCTTAGTGATGGAATAAACAAGATGTATAAGTAAATCGTATGGGAAATACTGCTTTGCCCCCTTGACAGCCAATAAGATTTCCTTGTGTATAAAAACAGTCTGCTCTTAAGTGAAGATTAATAGTCCCTTTTCCATAGGAAAATGTTTAATTGCCTTCTTAGTAAATATACTAGTCTCACCTGACCTGTATTCCCACTAAATTTAACGTATACTTTGCTCATTTTGTTATTATTTCAATAAACCTAACCTATACAAACTTCCAAATTACAAATGTCAGTTAATCATAAAAATCTGAACTCAATGAAGAGGATTATGCTGCATCATATGGCTTAAATTATATGTAGGTCTTATGGAATATACTGCCGCCTTCTCAGCTCTCCAAAATAAGGAAGCCTACGTTACGCAAACAATTTCGTTATTTCGTATCATCGTAAATCATGTTTCCCTAGGAGAAAAACAAACTACATGTACTGAGAACTATTGTATCAAGTGGAAGTCATCGTCACTCTTACATCCGATTTAACACATTTGCAACACATACCTGAAGGAGCCAAAAAGTTGAAACAAAAATCTTTTCGCAGACATAATTTTATGATGCACACTATTAGCAGGAGCGTATATAAACTATAGTACATAAATCTGTCGTATTATACCAATAATCTTGTATAAATCATTCAAAGCCAGCCGTAAAACCTGTTCTTTAACGGCAGTACACCTGCTTGCCCGCTAGCTTAAACCACTCACACCGACCAAACCATTACAACCGGCCGTTGGAAAGTAACTCAATCCCACTAAATGCTAATGGCGGGCAACATAACCATCGCAACGTCATGAACTTCACTGTTCTTTTTAATTGTGGGAAAAAAAATATTGTAAATACAAAGAAGGCCTAGGCAATGCCCATCCGGCCTTCTGTAGCACATTCTAATAAACATCTTATTCTATAATAGCGGTAACCCCGCGATTGTTAATATAGATCTTGACTTAAATCTATGAGTATACTGTAAATAATCAGTACAATTGATTCTTTTACTTTTCTTACATATTTATTTTATATAAATATAGGAATGTTGTCATGAAAAGTTAAACAGTTGCGTCTAGTGTGACTGGTGAAGATTTTTCTTTTTTCAATTATTTATGCCCTTACATGTTTCGGTCTTCAGAGATCATCAGAGGGACACCTTTACATCAATACAGTTGGAGGCTACTATTACAATATATATATTCTGAAAGTTAAAATGTATACATATAAAATAATATACAATTGGATATAAAATCTAAAGTCTTTACAACTACAGTGGCTGTTCTAATACTTTAAAATATTTATAATTGGTTTGTTAAGACTATTTGAATTCGTAAACCATGCAGGTTCGTGTTGTCCCTGTTATTATTTCTCTTGACAAGGGCCGAATGTATGCTGCCTTGTCGTTCTCGAGAAGAGGGTTCTTTGGTGTTGTCCTGTATGTGTTTGTCGCGCTAATAAAATGTATGATAAAAAGGATATTAAAAATGTTAAAAGTATAAAAGCAGTAATTATACAATATATTTAAAATTCTGGATAGTTGATATCCTTAGGTATGTGCAACCTTCCACAGATGTGTCAATGTGAAGTTGGAGAGTGGTCTTCATATTAATATGCCGCGCTTGCTGTCTTGCAGTACTTATGTACTGAAAGCAAAGAATATTATACTCATATGAGTAATACATGGTTATGGGTTAATACTTTTTAAGAAGTGAGGAAATATTTACCTAAGTTTCATGTAAAATCGGATCATAATTTCTTGTTACTTCTCACTCACTCCTGGAGATGAGCCCTTTTTGAGAAGCCACTAATTCTACAGCTACTCAAGAACTCCCCAGCATTTAATGGAGCCTGAAGGTCAATTACCATGCTCTCAGGAGACTTCCACTGGTCTCTATCCTGAGCCAGATCAATCCAATGCATACCATCTCATCCCTTTAATACTATCTGCCTACCTACAGCTTGATCTCTCTCCTTCTGGCTTTCCCACCAATATCCTATATGTATTCCTCTTCTCCCCCAGTTGTGCTACATGCCCTTTCCATCTCATCCTCCTTGACTTGATCATTCTAATTATACTTGGAGAAGAGTAAAAGTTATGAAGCTCTTCATTATGCAGTTTCCTCCAACCTCCTGTCACTTCATCTCTCTTTGGCCCAAATATTCTCCTCAGCACTGTTCTCAAAACGCCCTCAGTCTATTGTTCTCCCTTAATGTCAGAGACAAACTTTCGCACCCATACGGAACCATGGGCAACATTATATGTAGTTTTGTATATTCTAATTTTTATGTTTTTGGACAGCAGATGAGAAGACATAAGGTTCTGGACTGAATGGTAGCAAGCATTACCTGAGCTCAGTCTCCTCTTCATTTCCTCCTGAATCAGGTTTGGATTTGTTAGTTTCCAAACTGACTTGGAATTCTTCCATAGTCTCCAAACAGAATAGTTACAGTAGCAGATGGATTTTTCTCTGAACCTGCCTGAGGCCAAACACAGGGTTCAACTTTTACCCTTTGTCATACTTCCATCTATTGCAATAGCAGGTGCTATCCAAGAATATAAAAACTGTGAGCCTCTTTCTGAGGAGTCTTCTGCTTCTGTTGTCCCATGAAGGATAATTTAGCTGTAAGGACAGCACCCATGTACAGCATCCAAGTTGCCCAGGAACTTAGCTTATGCAAATAAACAAAGAAGGAAAGATAGAGGGGCAGATAGAAGTGACCAGAAGATGAGGAAGAAGACGTAAGAAGATGCTGGATGACCTTGGGGACAGAAGAGGATACTGTCATTTGAAGGAGAAAGCTCTAGATCGCATTAAGTGGAGGAATTGTTTTGGAAGAGACTGTGGACCTGTCGTCTGACAGATTACTGATGATGACAACCCATGTGACCTTCAGTGCTCTCTATATAGTGTGAAAGTGACAGTGCAGTGTGCAGTTTCTTCAGGTGGTATTAGTGGTCCCTATTTCTTTTAGGATGAGGGGATGAACTGTCAAAGTCAATGTTAAGTGGTAAACAGCTATGCTGGGAACATTTCTGTGAAACAAGTTAAATCTTCGTCAGCTTAATTCACTGTGGTTTCAACAAGATGGAGCAACCACTCACTCAGCACAGATTTCCATGGCGGTTCTCAGGGAGGTGTTTCTAGGGAGACTAATTTCTTGTTTCAGGGACATCAATTGGCCCACCTGCTCACCTGATCCTTCAGCACCAGTATTATTTTGGGGGATATATCCTGCCATTACTGATGACTTGAAACAGTGAATTCAGGAGTACATTCAAAGAATCCAAATCCTATGCCTTGTGGCATCAGTACTGTCTTGACTATAGGAGTGTCTTGAACAAAAAGGAGGTCTCCCTGAAGATGTAAAATTCAAACTATAATGCTTAAAAACAAATTCTGGAAGGAAATGGAAACATATCTGTCAATCTTTCAACTTCGCTTTGAAAATTATTTCACTCCAAAAACTGTCAGATATTTCTGGTGAATCCTGTATATTTTGCAAAAATAGTTACGAAAGTATTTGGCTTAAGGATATATAAGCAGGGGGTAAATACATATTCTCACAAGCCTAATTTCATCTGACCTGCTTTGCAGCATGTCAACTTAATAGATTACTAATACAACTAACACATTTTTTAAAACTATATGATAAACATCTGTTCATAAACAGAAAAGGTGGGGAAATACTGGGTAATACTACTGCATGGTATAAAACATAACATAAGCATGACAACAATACCAATGACAACCATAAGACACTTCCTGTTTATGTTAATACCATCTCCAGCATAGGTTGTTCTGAGCATTTAGTTACACAATATATAAAATTGGTCACCTTAGAAAATGATTTACTGAGTAATACAAAATAATATAAAAATTCCTTATTCTAAGTACAGTTCTCCATATATAATAAGTAACACTGTATTATGGAAGACCATTACCATAACCAATAAAAATGTAATAAATGGCAACACAGATGTTGTTTAAACATTAACTATCTAGTTTAAGATAATATGATCTCTACAGATTATTCAGGTATGCACCTGATGATGGCCAAATAGGCTGAAACATGTTGTGCAACAGATGTGTTAACTAAAGACATACAACTTGAAAAAAAAAAGATTTAAAAAATTTTAAAATTTTACAATTTTTAGTATGAGCTGCATGTGAGACAGCAGTGAATACATGAACAAAAAGTAGACACAGTGCAACAGGATGCTACAACACAACATCACTCTACAACTAATTTCAGCTTCCACGTGTGTGGTATGGAAGAAACTTGAGCATACCAGTTATAAATTTAATTACTGGGCTTGCATTAGCTAAGGTTTTATGCTTCCATCACTTTTACTGAGTAGTGAGATTAAACATACAAATGTTTGACAATCATTTCATTCTATAACCAGTAATCTTCCATAACATCATACTAATTCATTTCAAAATAAGACAAATGTGTGAACCACTTAGCATTCTGTTTTTCAGGACTGCAATAAATGGATGAGTACATGTGAAAGACAGTTCTGTTGGACAGAATCACAGCAAGACTAACTCATGTTTACTTGGTTTCTGGACTTTATTCATTGCCCGGTATTTTAAAAAACTAGAGAACACTATTTTGGAAACAGGATGTTTCCCTCCTCAGATTGGGGGGGGGGCACCTACTCTCTTGGGTCTCTTAGAAGAGCTAACCCCAATCACTGGACAACATATGTCAGTATAACCACAACTACATAAATCCTTGATGCCACACTGTCAATTGGAGACAATAGGAAAAATGTACAATAAAAATTCTGATAAAGCATGCACAGACCTGAAAATAAGATAGAAAACACGAGGTGGAAATTTTATGCAACAAACCTGGCTAATAAACCAAGCCCACGAAAAGCAATGCATATGTTTAATTGGAGAATGGTGTGACCATTTTTTGCCTACTGCTATCACCATCTTTAGAATAAAAACTGAGCCCTCAGGACTAAAATATTACTGAAGCCCATGAAGAATCTGTCAGATCATACTGATCTTCCTTGTAATTTGCTAAGCTCACTGCTAATAAGGGGGATCCAGATGGGAGAAATGTCCAAACCAGGTTGGTCATATGGGCTGATTCTTCATATTTCTTGTACCTGCTGTTATTTTCAATTTCCAAAATCCCAGCTTCATCTAAGCCTACCCTATGACCCCCTTCATAGGCATGTTGGGCTATTTTTATTTTTCTAGAAGATCATCTTTGAGATTATGCCTATGCTCGCGGAGGGACACAGCTAAGAGGTCTGCCTGCTTCACTAATGTAGCTTCTGCCATATTCACAGGGAATGCTACAGACACACTATGCCCTCTATTGCGATCTCTTTCTGCCCTGGTTTCCATGAGTGAACTCCTAAGTGTGTGTTTAACTTTAAAGTCTGTTATATCAAGTCCCTACACATTTTAACTTTTCTGGTATATAAACTGGGCACAGAAGTTTCTCTTTATTTGGACTGCTGCTACCCTTGGAATCAATACCAAGTCGATGAAACCTTGGGGATAACTGTTGAGCTAAAGATCACATCTTTGGTTACTAATTTCATCCAACAGATGTTGGCATATAGTGGAAGCTCTACTGTGAAAACTCTGAACTAAACCTCTTTTCATATTCAGCAGAAGGTTAGATATGAAGGTGAGACACCAGCCAGCATGGGTGGGTTTTCTGTAAACTTTAGTGGCCAGTGTTGCCCCTTTCTTGATGACCAGAACATCCAGAAAAGGAATTGCACTGTGTGACTCTATTTCCATGGCAAACTGGAAGGAAGACCCTGAACTATTTAGGTGACTGAGGAAATTCTGTAACCACTCTAGGCCATGAGGCCAGACCACAAATATGTCACACCCAGTGATGGTTTATATTATGCGAAGTCAAGAGTCAGTTTCTCAAAATGCTCCATGAATATGCTGCGAACAATATGTGACAGAGAGCTTCCCATACCCACACCATCTTTCTACTGGAAGAACTTATCGTCCACCCGAAAATATGTGGTTCTCAAACAAACTTTAAGCAGTTCCATGATGGCTTCGATCTGCAAGACAGACCGTACCACCAAATGTGTTATCATCATGGAGCATATTTCTGAAGATCTGCAGGGATTCGTCAACTGGTACGTTAATGCTAACATGGGTATCCAGAGTTGAAGGTTTACAGACTTCAACAACTGTATGAAGTGCCCCAAATTTGTTACAAAGGATTCTGACTTTCCAGCAAGAGGACTCAGCATCTCGTGGAGAAAACCAGCCAGGGCATTGTAAGGGGAACCAATGGAACTCACTATAGGTCTCAGAAAAATTCCTTGTTTGTGAAACTTTGGAAGACCATATAGATGTGAAGGTTTGCTGTGGTATGGAGTATCTGTTCTCAAGTTTTGTAGAATACTGGATGATGGACAAAGTCCAAAAACCCAGTAATTCCAAGTGTTATACAGCATTGTCAGAACCCTTTAGAATCTTCTTTAAAAAACTGTCTCCCTTACATTGTATTTTTTCATCTTTCTTAACATATTTATGTAATGCTGACTTCTTGAACAGTGACTCCTTTGTCATCCCACGCGTAGCTTAGTCACTATACTGCTCCTTTGCTGTACCCACACAGACTCTGTATCCCAAATTCTTTATGAAATATCAATATTCAATCCAATTCATTGAATTCTATATATGAATCTTCTAACTGTTTCTCCATATCAAGTGAAAATTCTACAATGTAAATGGGGTGAAGTTTTTTAATGCTGTCTTGCTACAATATTGTTATTAGTTTTTCCAATTTCTATCCCTTGAATTATAACTTCTGAGGTTAAATGCGTTACATTACATAGCTGTCCCACTATTCAAAGACTAGTATAGTTGCTCCTATCAGTAGATTTGGCATACTTTAAACCAGATGAAAAAGCAGCTGTAGTTTGCAGACGTCGGATACAGTGCTTACAAAATGGATATGTGGGCTTGTCTGCAAATGCTAAAGAACATTAGTGTAATAATATGTACAATAAAGTTGCACTGTCTACTGATTAAGTATAAAATATAATAGAAGTAGATAGCAACACCAGAAAAATGTGCTGCTGTTTCATATACTTAAATTCATATATGTTAATTTAAAGTTAAACCCAGTTATTAGGTTAGAATGTACTAGGAATTCTGATTTGGAACTGGAGTCTTAACCACAGCGCAAAAAGTATAGTTCCTTTATGCATATTCTGTGGGGAACAAGTGGTCTTCAATGTTATATCCAAAGCATTATAATCAGGTTCAACTGCACTTCCAAATATATTGTTTTAATTAGAAAAACCCTTGGGTTGTATTTGTAATTTCCTTTGCACATAATTTTGTTAAGATATCAAAACACAGCCTTGTTTCATATTTAACAAACACATCATTGCAAATATAAAATATCTGCAGAATAAAGAATATATTTATACAACGACAAATAGTAACACTATCCAAATAAATGTATCTTAAAAAATATACTCTTGTCCTTAGTCTGAGTACAAAACTAACTAGTATTTCTTTAATATAAGTGAAAAGTTACCATACAAATAGATTATTTGAAAAAAAGTACTGGATATACTTCTTACTGTAACTTTCCCTCTAATATATTCAGTCTTGAATAGATTCAAATATAAATTTTTAAAAAGTGCACATATATAAACAGTTTTTGCAGACAGAGTATCTATATCTGCATAGGTATCTACTCTGCACTTCTATTCGATGTTGAAATATAACCGTTAATTCTTCTAAGAGATTACAAAAGTAACAAAATAGGAATTATACCATTCAGTACTACTTAATTAGAAAATGTCTTCATATAAAAGTAAAAGAAACTATGTCTACACTTTGTCATTCCATGTGCTTGCTTTCAATCAACAAGTTGTATATAACAGTTGGTAACGTGAACTCAAAATCACATTGCACTGCTAAAATATCCAGAAACCATACCTTTAAGCTATTCCTGTTCTCCCCACACCATTGAGATTATTTCCCTGAACTGATTCACTCAGCCACCAGTCTCATTTTACCATGACAAAGGCATTTCAAACTAACAATTTATTATTTATGTCCATGGCAGTGCTAACCACTTATGACTCCAATCACATTTGTGGCATATTTACAATCTTTTCAGAGCTCTTTTCAAAATCCTTTAAGATGTAATTCTGATGTGGTACTGTAGCGAAACTGTTAGAATCATCAGCTACAAGCATGATAGTAGCTTGCTGAGAATTAGCACTGATAATATTGAACCTGTTTGATTCAACCATGTTCAAGACTTCAGCTTCTAACTGTCTAGAGACTGCATTTTTCTTATCCACTTCATACTGAGGTGAAAGGAATGCTGACGATGCTGAGGATGAAGATGAGGTGGAGGAACTTAAAGGAGATGCCTGCACATTGCTAGACAGCAATGTGGGTAATGCCTGTGCTTGGTGAATTCCTGTATTTATCATTAGAGGATTAAATCCTGTCACATTAGGCAATATTAACGGCATAGGTTGTAAGTGAGCAATATTCTTATTAGTATTTCTATGAAATGACTCATTGTCTAATATGTTTGTTGCTGTACAACTCTTTCCTTTGTTTGTTCTTTTCAGATGAACATTAACTGTATTCCAACTGCTCTTGACGTTGACAGCAGAGACACCCAATTGTTGTATACTTTCTTGTTGACTCTCAAATGTCCTGTCTTTTGGGTTGCATACATTTTCAGTATTAGTAACAGGTACATCCAACACCACAACACTGGCTTTATCATTTTCTGAATCATCTGTGAAAGAAATATTACTCTGTCGCATGGCTTCTTCCACAATATCTTGAAAAGATTTCTGAGGTGGTTCACACTCTGCCACTGGCAGCGTAACCTCACTCTCAAAATTAGTGATACAACTTGTTTTTTCTACGCCTATTAAATCTTTAGTATCTTCATGGTCCTTATTGGCAGGAATTGTGACAGCTATTGCTGACTGATGATAGGTACTCTCGTTAAAATTAAAACTAGTTTTTTCCTTAATGTCTTCTTCATCTTCCTCATTCATCATGCCACAGAGTTCCAAAGGTTTCCTTTTACCACTAATTTTAAATCGTCCCTTTCCTTTATGAGATCTTTTCTTCCCACCTTGTAGTTCTTGTTTTACATGTGCAGTTGTGCTGTGAGGGGAACGGGGTAGAGTCCTAACACTACGGAACTCCTCCTCTGACAAAATGATAAGGCCACCAGTAGTAGTCAGTACCTTCCCATGACGAGTTTTCAGATGACGTTTGTAAGTATTACGGGTTTTGAACCTAAGACATGAAGATATTCATAACTTTAATACCTCAAAATCAATTTCTTTAAAATTCTTCTGAATGCAAGTTGTATTACTTTTTAACCCATCTACCTTCATTAGCCTCAGTGCAAGTAACAATCTTATGTTCATAAAATGAAAACCAAGGTGCAGAGTTATATTTTGCTGATTAGTTTTGAATATCTAGAATCTTTTGAAAGTTCTATTGGACATACATGAAATGTCCATAGTAAATTTTCATAAACACATTCACTACCTCTCACATGCAATATTAAGAAATTAAGAAATTCTAGATCCACAAATATTCTGAAGAGTTCTTTAAAAAGTATTTTAAATATACTAACCGAAGCATGCAATCTGAGCATTCATATGGAGATTCCCCTGTATGGCGACGTCTGTGTTCCTTGAAATGAGATGGATGTCGAAATTTGCGGCCACAATCGGTACATGTGAAGCGTGTCTGGTTTGAATGAATTAACATGTGGTAATTTAGACTGTGCTGCCTGGTGAATACTGAACGACAAATTCGACATTCATAGGGCTTGATGCCTGGAAGAGAAACAAGTATTTTATTTAGCGTGCAAAACTTAGGAAAACTCAAATATTCTGTAATCTCCTGGGTCTCTTCAAACTGATGTTCTCTTCTGTCCATGATGTACTTTAAAGAGTGTATTTACCTAACTAATTACATGCAACAGATTCCTCCTTAAGAAAATAACAGCTGCTCAGCTAGTTAAGAAATCCACCGTTTTATCAAACCTCACAACAGTCTGCTAATAGCATATATACTGAATCAAATTAATCCAGTGCGTATCCTTCCACCCAATTTCTGTAATATCAGTTCTAATACTATCCTGCCATCTATATTTAGATCCTATAGATGGTTTTCAGTTTTATGACAAACTTCCCTTCAGCTTACATATGTCCTACACGTCCTACCATTCTCAACCTTCTTGAACTGATTAACAATCTCAGGCGAAAGGTACAAATTAACAAACGCTTCCTGTCATTTAAAAAAACAAATCAGGAAGATAAGATAGCTCAAAACAAGCAGTGAAGTGATACAATAAAGTGTCTTCTCACCAGGTAAGTTTAATGCGGTAATCAATAAATTTACTAACAAAGCTGACCAGAAATGAAAACATTAATATTTTCAGATGATGTACTGATCTGGGGGGGGGGAGACAAAAAAGAAAACTGAAGACAAACTAAATCAATGGAACATTACTACAAAGAAGTATACGTGTAGACTGAAAACAAACATAGACAAGATTGCTTCAAAGATCCCAGACAACGAAATCAGACTAAAACTTGATGGCAAATTAGTAAAACTAGTAACACATTTATTTATTTAGAAAATTCATGGTGTGATCAACTCATAATTAAAAGTACTTCTGAATTGTATGAAATTATAGAAAAGATACCACTAAATGAATTAGAATTGAATTTTAAAAGAAAAAGACATGTGGTATGACCCAGAACAACATGGTTTAGTCAGGAACTGGAACATATCAAGGAGGTTATGAGAGAAAAAGAAGAGACTGGAGAATTTTCTCCATCAATCCATATAAAATGTAAATGTTGCTATGAGGAGGAAAGTGGAGGAACAGGAGCAAAGAAGCAGTACAAATTACAAAGAATATCTACAACCTTCTTCAGTCTCTTGTTATCTGCTCCGTCCTAGGTCCAAATATTGTTCTCAGCAGCCTGTTCTTAAATGCCCTCATGCAACAGACAAAGTTGCACCCACACAAAACAAAGGAAAATATAATTCTGTATGTTTTATTTCTACACAGCGTGGACACTGCAATATGTAAGTAGCGTGAGTGAAATGTGGGCATACATTCTCGAACAACCATGACATGCAGTAGTGGCATGTAATATACTGACATACAAGCTGATACAGTGCAGTGGTTTCAATCGATTAACAGTTGCCTGAGGATGGCCTTATAGGGCCCAAACATGTTGCTATAGTAAAATAAAATGTGTTTTCAATAACATTTTAGAAAATTAAATGTGACTATAATGATATTTTAAAATAAGAGTTTATGTTGCAGTAGAGATGGAAAGAAGTGGACATGTGATAAGAGAATCATATCAGCAGTTAAGACGGCAGAGTTTGTTAGTGATTTGCACAAACATCACTATGTTTGCTTCTGAACAAACTGATCAGAAATTCAGTAAGGCTCATTTCCAATAGTTCAATATCATGTGTATTAAAGCTCTTACCTGCATGGCTCCTATAATGGCTAATAAGAGTAGTTGGTGCAGTAAATGAGCGAGGTGGGTTGCAAATGTAGCATTCAAGAGACTCAGTATTTCCCTTCCGTTTCATCATTTCAATCAAATGAACAGCCATTTCCTACAAAAGAAACACAGTGAATTCTAAAAATTCTTTTGGAGCTGTACTGTAAATTGCAAACACCATTATTATATTAGTTATTGAATTACCAATACTGTAAACAAGATAACATTCGAAGAAAGCCATCTTCTGGGATGTGGCACCGTGTAGAAATTGTGTTAACTGATGTTTCCGAGGTAGAAGACAAGAAGAAATCTGCGAGTGGACCAGCAGAGCAGGTGCAACAGACTGAATCCAGTCGAGTAAACACAGCTGTATAAGAGAAGGAAAGATGGAGTGTGGCTACATAGGGAAATAGTAGAGGGGGAGGGGGGGAAGGGTCTGGTGGAATAGCCAGCAGGTAGTGGGCCAGAGCTGGTATAGAGTATGTGTTAGGGGGAAGAGAAGGGAAGGTTAAATGAAGGGCATTAACCCTGTAGTTTTGGGGCTGTGATGGACCTGAGTGGCCTATAGGGTCTGCCATATTTTGGAGGTTACTTGAGGGAGCAGAAAGGGAGCTGTACTGTAAATTGCAAACACCATTACTATATTAGTTATTGAATTACCAATACTGTAAACAAGATAACATTCAAAGAAAGCCGTTTTCTGGGATGTAGCTCAAGCGGTTAGTCACTGGCTTCCCATCGCGGCGGCCTGGGTCTGGTCAAGTGGGATTTGTGGTGGACAAAGTGGCGCTGGAGCAGGTTTTCTCCTAGTATTTCGGTTTCCCCAGCCAATCTTCATTCCACCAATTGTTCCATAATCACCCTCACCTATCATTTGGGGCTGGTACAATAGGCCAGAAGTGGCTGCAGTACAAGGGACTTAGTGCCACCCCACCAGCAAAAAAAAAGGGGTGGAGAAGGAGGAGGTGGAGGGGGAGGAGGAGAAGGAGAAGAANGCAGAAGAAGAGGGAGCAGATGAGAAGCTTCCATGACTTGCTACCTCTCTGCTCATGTTGTCGGGATGGAGTTCAATCTCAATGGCCTCCCTAATGATGAGATCCATATAATGGGTCTTGGTGGCGAGGATGGAGGTATTCTGAAGCTGAATGCGGTGTCCCAAATATATGCTATGTTCAGCAACAGCTGACTTGTCTGGATGTTCGAGATGGATGTGCCGATGATGCTCCTTCGACCTCGTGTCTACAGAACGGCCTGTCTGCCCAATATAAACCTTGCCGCACTCGCATGGGATACTGTATACACCCAGTGTCCTTAGTCCCAGGCTATCTTTAACCGGCCGGAGGAAACTAGATAATTTCTTTGGAGGCAGGCTCACTGATTTGATGTTGTGCCAGGACAGCACTCTGCTAATATGGTTGAATATAGTCCCGACATNCCTTTCCTCGAAATCCTCCATATATAAGTTTGTGATGACGGGAGACAGTGGTGAGCCCATCACCACACCATCGGTTTGTTCACAGAACTGGCCATTGAAGATGAAGTATGAGGTAGTCAGGACATGGCAGAAGAGTCTCAAGAAATCCTCTTCGAAATGTCGTCCTAGCAGATCCATAGTATCCTCTACAGGCACTCTGGTGAAGAGCGACACTACATTGAAATTGACCATTATGTCGTGGGGATCAACATACCTTTGTCATTTGGCACAATGTCGCTGTTTGAACAGCGTGTGAACATCAAGTTCATGTGCAAATTGGGAAAATCTGCTTCAGAGATGGTATTGTCCCTGCAGCAAGTTTATGGTGACACTGCACTAAAGAAATCTGCAGTTTACAACTGGTTTTCCCGGTTTAAGAATGGGCAGATGTTAGAGGATGACCAGCGCAGTGGGAGACTTTCGACATCCAGAACTGAAGAAATGATTGGAAAAGTGCAAAAACTGATTCGATGTGATCAAAGAATGACCATCCCGGAGTTGGAGCAAGAAGTTGGTGCTGTTACTGGCCATTTCTACATGAAAGTTCTGCAGAGGTTGCGCGATGTGGTTCAGAGGAAGCGGCGCGACAAGTGGCAGGGACAGTGGTTTCTGCATCATGATAATGCACTGAGCCACACATTGCTTATTGTGCAGCAATTACTCACTGAGAAAAACATTCCTGTCATCACTCAACCACCGTACTCCCGGATCTCGCTCCGAGTGACTTTTGGCTGTTCCCTATTCTGAAAATGGACCTCAAGGGGACACTTTTCACAACCATGGACGACATCAAATCGAATGCGATGGTTGAGCTTCCACTGGTGATTCCAACAATGGCAGGATTGATGGAGCAAGTGTGTGCGCGCGCAAGGGTCCTACTTTGAAGGTGATTGGGTAAGCGTTGCTGTATGTCCTACCATTACAGTGCTATACCACCATTCCAGGAACTTTTTGACTGCTCCTCATAATATTTTTTCAATATTTTTAATACTTTTAATATTTTTAGTTATTTTAGTTGTGTATTTGCCAAGAAGCGGCGGTCACTCGGTCGGTATAGTTTGCTTGCGGACTACAGGCCACAGAACATCTAACTCTTTATTCATATTCTGAAATCCTATATTCTTAATATACAACATTTTTAAATACAAATTTCTTGTGTTTTCTTTCATATTTTAATATTTTTAATACTGTAATTCTCATCATAACACAAGGCACAATTTCTACAATTTTCATTACTGTTATAATATGAATGTATTGCACCACAATTTGTATCCATATTGAGAGTTCAATTAACCTTCTTGTATTATTACATATACACTGCCTGATGATGGTCACATGAGGACCATGTAACATGTAGCGGCAAACAATAAAATTCAATCTATGTGATATTGATTTGATTGTAAAACTATTTTTTGTTGTGTTGATGGATACCTTACCTAACCATAAGACAAGGTTCACCAGAGATTTTCACACAAATGTAATTATACTTAAATTAATACCTTTTCAGCTTTTGACTGTCCAATAAACTTAGCTTTCCCTTTGGGCTTTTTCTTTTGGATGTATTCATCCCTTTCAATACGCTTTTCACAGTTCATTTCTCTCATCACTTCATCATTATAAGCCTGTGGTTCGGCTTTTCTATTATCTTGCACAACTGGAAGGTCATCTGTAACATTAACATATTATTATTATTATTGATAGTGGGGTGGGACTAAGTCCCTTGTACTGCGGCCACTTCTGGCCTATCGTACCAGCCCCAGATGATAGGTGAGGGTGATTGTGGAGCAATTGGTGGAATGACGATTGGCAGGGGAAACTGAAGTACTCGGAGAAAACCTGCCCCAGCGCCACTTTGTCCACCACAAATCCCACTTGACCAGACCCGGGATCGAACCTGGGCCACCGTGGTGGAAAGCCAGAGACTAACCGCTTGAGCTATGGTGCGGCCCTAAACATAATAGTATACTACTCGTACATTATATACACTCCAAGGACTGACGCAGAGAGGTAACATCATGTAACAGACGCTTAAAAAAAAAGTACATACATATGACAAAATATAGGAAAGAATGATTATAAGGACTCTCAACTACAATGGCAAATTCATTTATGACTGTAATATGCATGTACAAATTTTCAGTAATAATGATAATATATACCATTAACTATATATAGCTGCAATTTATATGCGCTACCTTTAAATGCGTTACCTCACTGTAATTATTAAATGTCCATATCCCTCTGGGAATGTCTAACTCAAATATTAAAATCCCCCAAGTAAAATATATAGGGGAGATAAGTGGGATAATAAATTCATCAGGTCAGCTGAGACTGCTGATAGGAAATAAACGTTGTAAAGAATAAATGAGAGACAAAACAGAATTAAATAAACAGAAATTAACTGTAGAGAACTGGCCATCAATCTCCAGCCCTCAGTTTGCTGCCCAGGAGCTTTTCTGCGCTTTTAGAAAAGGTCTCTTAAGTTCTTTATGGGTGGACTCTAGTGCAATTTATGCATCTGGGTTGGGACAAGGTACTTCATGACTAGTCTCACTGCAAATGCTACAGATCAGGCTTAATAAGCCTTTCATATGTCCAAATTTCTATCATTGAAAGAACTACACTGGATTAAGAATATATGAGCATAATATGACCCTTTCCTATCAAACACAGATGATGCTGGGCAAGGAGGAACTTTGAATGTTATGAAGACAGTTCAAAAAGGAATGGTTCGTTGGCAGCTCCCGAGGAATTGATGGGATTAGACCCAAGGGGATTTGCTTTCAATAGCAGCTTTATCTGCATGTCATTGTGTACCATTACCAAGAGTGTCTGTTCCATTCTTCAACTGAAATGCAATTTTAACCTTATCAGTGATACTATCCAAGGTCTTATTTATAGGAAAGACTGATATTTTGCATCTTTCAATGTGAACATCATGAAAGGTGGAGCAGCATTATCACACTAACAGTAAAGAGCAGATGAATCTGTTATCAGACTTTCACTGTTGTGGTGGATGCACTGAACTCACAGGGGATCCCTCTGGAACTATCATCATCAGCCTGGAAGTAGGCGATAAAAGGGGGGAAAAAAGACATTAGAATCTTCTGGTATGAGGATCTCCACCACAATTCATTCTCAACACATTCTTCAGCAGAGGTACTCTTTTGAGACATCACTGACAATCAGAAACCTGAAAGCAAATCCTACATCCTTTGGTGAACATGGAACTTCAGCCCCATACCACAATAACCGCACGACTCCCAACTCTAGACCACAGATAGGTCTACATTGCTTCAGGGGGGTTAGTCATTAATTACATCATGTCTCTTAAATGTCAGAATGGCACAGCCAGATGGAGAACTGCACAACTGACAGGGTGCCTAGGCTGGCTGCGCCCTTACCAGAATACTATGTGGGGTATCTGACTATGGTTTTGGTTGTACACCTAGACTGCATATACGGGCAATGCGAAGAGTGCACTGAACTTTAATTTTTGAGTTCAGGTGGAAGTCACACCCAAACTGTCCAAAACACACTGGAATAGGAAAGTGTGCAGCTAGACAAACAGGAGTTTTATAAGTGCTGTGGACCTTAATATCTAATATGCAAAGCAAGGAGAGAACTACTGTGATAAAGAGAAATACACATGGCAAACCATGAGATATGAATGATATGATGAATGTGGGGATGACATGGTACATGTTCAGCATGCGAATGGAGCCAGTGAAAAAGATGAGCTATAAATTTTTAGTTAAAAATTAAACAGCTGCCTAGTGCCAAGGTCAAGAATGGTGCAGCTATACCTCTGATCCACATACATCTTCATGGCATGGTACTTAATTAACCCTTTCGCACTCAGCTTATTTTCCAAGTACCTGGCCTAAAACACTCAGACAAATTTGGCTCCATTTACAAGTCTCATTTCAATAATTCTCACCAAAAATACAATTTTGGTCAAACACATGACAAAAAATCACATTTATTCTTTATAAAGTAAAGATTAAAAAAAACCTAAGAGTGCTAACACTATAAATAATTTGGAAACAAATATAAAAATAAAGCTGAAAGAATACAGAAATTTAAAATTTTCATAAATTAGACAAAAAAATAAAATCATCTTTCTGGTCTTCTTTTCTTGTCACCAAGCCTGTAAGAAAGAGAATATTTTCTGTAAATTTTGATACAAGTTTTATGCATGAAGAGCTCTCTGGTCCAGAATGACATCACATTATACAGTGCATACGTACCTTTTGCAGTTAGCACCTGTGTCTGGATCTCTACCTCCTCTCCTTTGTGCTGCAGAAATTTCATTGGGACTCTTTCTTTTCAGGGAGTTTTTTGAGTCTCTGTTGTCCCCGAGGATCATCTGCTCCGGAGTTTTCCTTCAGCAACAACCACTTCTCCCTCAAGCTCTCAGTTATAGACATACTGTAGCTGTACCCGGATTTCAGTTTGCAATGCGGATCTATACATCCACTTCCTCATACGTCTTCATGGCACAGTGCTGAATTAATTAAGCACTGGGACAACTTTACTTTACCTTTGCCAGGCACCCTGTAATTTTCCTTGTAGAGAATTAAGCTATTCAACACCATTCTGGCTATGATGTTGAATGCTATCTTTTCCGATAACACCGTCTGCCTTTCATTGAAATAAGTGTACAGCTTCATGTCTGAGAAGTTCATGCCACCCATAGAATTGTTATAGGCTGTGATGATTTTTGGTTTTATTTGTGAATTACCACATCTTCCTCATACGTCCTCTTTTGGGGTTGTAGCAAGGCTGGAGAGAAGTTGTTCTTCAAATGCTGGGGTAAAAGTTACCTATCCCTCCTAACAGTTCCAGTGATGTAGGTGCTTTGCTGATGGAGATGGAAGACAAGTGGAGGAGACATGAAATAAGTGTTGACAAAGACATGGTAGCCTTTGTTGAGGTACCCTTCAATCTCATGCAGTTTCTCCATGATGGTGTACCTTAGGCCATTTTTGGACGTCCTTGTCTTCCTGAGACCTTGCCCTTCTGTATGTGAAAAACCTCAGGCAAAGAATCACACAACATCCAAAATTTGATTCCCCAGTAATGGTTGTGCTTGCTGGACAAATACTGTATGAGAATGATCTTGTTTTTGGTACCTACCACGCTTTTGTCAACACTAATTCCTATATGAGGGGTGTATAAATGCCTGAATACCCTGTTTGTATGGTCCACAAGGGGTTAGTACCTTGCACTTGGATTATAGTCTGGTTCTCCAGGGCCTGGCAATCATTCATAGTTGACAATTGGAAGAAGTGCAGCAAGTGGGCAAAGCCATGCTTTGTAAACGTTTTCCCGGACAATTGGGGTCGCTTGGGAAGAGAGAGGGACCAGTATGATGCTGTGGTTGACTTTCTGATGATGCCCATATTTAGAATACAGGCCAGGAATCCTTTCATCTCATGCATGGTAATTCTGGTCCAGTTCTTTAGCAGAGCGAGAACAGCACCCGCTTTACTACTAATCACTCGCTGTGCATATCTATTGGATTCTGTCACCCTAAGGGGAAGGATCAAGTCCGTGAAGAAGAGATGGAAGTAAGCAATACGAGGAGAATCAGGAGGAGGCATATGCTTAGGGCCAGACAGTTCCTTTTTTTTTGCATATTAATTACACATAATCTGCAATTAAGTGTGTATGTTCAATAAGTACTGGCTCATTAATGGGTTATGCCCAGTGGCATAACTAATATACTTTTTTTGTTTACTTAGATATCATTTTAATTCTTGTATAGGGATTTTACTTAAGCCTGTCTGGTAAAGTTAGGATTGTATAACTTTTCAGTCTATGTGTAGTTTCACTACTGTCCAGTAGGTTCACTGCTGGTGCATTAGTGTACTTTTCTAATTTTCTTCAGTGTTTGGTATTCCACTTTTTTATTTCACTGAGAACTGTGTTCATTTGTAGATCTTCATGATCCTGTGGTTGTTCTTGGAACTGGAAAGAAGAGGGAGAGGCTGTTCAGGTAACAGAATTTCCCTGCAGTCTTCATCATCCATGACATCCTCTTCACTGTCAGACACAGGGCAGGCATGTGGGTTATTGTCTTCTTATTCTCTGTTTGTATTATCAGTGTCATTTTCCAGAATAAAGTCACTATCACTGGTATCTAAATATTCAAACAAGTAAGTCACTGAACCTAGACCTAGGACAACATATGGTCTAGTTAAAAATGTAAAATTACTAACTATATATACTATAAACTCTGAAAAATATAACAAATATATGATAAACTATACAAAGGCGGTCTGATATTAATGGTACAAATGTTTGTTATATATGGCTTACACATGACATCTCAATGTCACCTGCATTTATTGGTACGTTGAGTACAGTAGTAGTAGCTGCACTAGTGTAGTTCTCCATCCACATGAGCAACATTTACAAGTGAACAGAATGCCTGTTGTGATTGAAAATTATTTCAAGGACCGCATGGTAGTCAGAATTTTGCAAGCAGTAGGAGTGTGTCAGAGTGGGATTCAACGCAGGTTAGTGAGTGTTTACGGCCAGAACATTTTCAGCTGAAAGGAAGTGTCTGTGTGGTGCAGCAGATTTAAAGCTGGCCAAACAGCACTGAATGATGATCCACAGAAACACAGAAGCAGACGAAGGACCTCACACACTGATGAAAATTGTGTTACTGTCGAAGATTTGATAAGGGAACAACGAAGAGTCAAAGTTGGAGAAATTGCTGAAGTGACAGGTATTGAAATAAGCACTGTTCATGAAATAATCTCAGGTTTAAACATCTGTAAACTGTCTAACTGGGTTCCAAAAATACTCACTGAGGAGCACGAACGCAAAAGAATGGCTGTTTTGCTTGAAAATCTTTGCTGTTACCAAGATGGAGAATCATTCATGGAAAGCATCACTATGAGATGAAACATGAAAAGATTTGATGGGGGGGGACCCAGTTGTGCAATGCTTCACATCCCTTGGAAAGGAGAACTACCATGAAGGAATGCTTAAACTTGTAAAACAATTGGATAAATGTCTGAATGCTAACTGTAACTACATGGAAAAATTAACACTAGTACGCAGTGTTTCTTGACTTTATTTTAAAGATTTTTTGCAGTAAACAGGTTGATGTAATTTGGTGCTGTGCCTTTAAATTCAGACTGCCCTTGTATGTAACTTTATTACATATTTTTTGTATGCAAAAGGATGCCATCTAGGTTCAAAACTGTAAAACAGACCTTTGAGACAGTCTTCTTCTGCCACCTTTGAGCCATTTACATAACTAAAAGAACATGATTTAGACAGAGCCAACAGTCGGCCACCTGAGTGTTCTGGCCTTTAACTGAACTGCTGATGGATCGGCACGCTGAGTGTGTAAGGGTTAATTAAGCAGAGGGACAAATGTACCTTTGCCTTCACCTAGAAGCAGGGAATGTTAGAGCACTGTAAAGTTGAGACGCATAAATATTTAATGTGCATTCCATGCAAGGGGTAAAGTTACAATCACTAATTTGCATAACACAAATCCTCATACAGAATGCATATTTCCTTCCTTCACAACAGTGTCTTATTTGATGCATCTTGCAGATTTTGCTTAATCTTTATACAATGAAAGGAGTGGCTCTTTTTCAGCTCCCAAGTTGTAACTCGTTTATTTTCAGTTTTTGTGCGCACATATGCATATGTATTTAGGGCCTCAAAAATTCCTAACCAGTTCTTTTCTCACAGTTTTAGGGCAACAAAATAAGACAATATAACTCTTTAAACATACCTGATCTGATCATCTTGTATGAGAATGACTGATAGGTATTTACATCAATCTCTTGTCCTACACAGGGCAGCTGCTTCAATTGTAACTGATCATCTTCCAATACACAGACCATTACCTGCAATTGTTTTCAGTGTCAGAATGAATAACACGCCCATGTTACCTCACACAGTTCATCACAATATTTGAGAGTTACTTTCAGGATGAATGGGGGGAGACATTCAAGACATTTTATTATTAATGACTGATGACAGATTTTAACCAGTTTGGTGCGTGACTTAGAACAATTCAACACAAGTCTTAAAATCATTCATTTTCCAACTACCAAACAAAATAATGTTTATATGTGACCACTGTAGCCTATTCTGAACAGGCTTCACTTCACTGATGTCCTATAATATAGCAAGTGTCACGTAACTTCGAACAAGGCCAATAGTAACCTTGAATGCATAGAAGAAAAATTTCAGACAAGGGGGTGGGGTGTGTGAGAAGTGACAGGCAGCCAGTGGAAGAACGAGTGTTAAGAAACTCCTCCCACCACAAGCTATGCGCAGGATTTGAGCAGGAGTGCAGGGCCTTGTTCGAAGTTAAGTGACACTGTCTATATTAGAATATGTAGCTAACCACAAATTGTAGGTTGTACTTTCTTAGCATATGTTGCAAGGTCCTCTACAGTATATTTCTTACTCCACTTGTTTATGGCCTGTGTACTAACAGCACTGTATATAAAACAAACACATGTAACCAAAGTACTCACCATATCACATAATGTTTCTGCCATCATAAATTTTCCCAAGTCTGCAGCAGGAGTCTTATGACAAGGGACAGATACTTCCTTCATTTTTTCCTGTTTCTCCTGGTACTGTAATCCACATCCATTCTGACTAATTTTAGTTTCAGACCAGGTGCACTTTCTGTGATCCACAGCTGGCACATCAGTATTATTATTTTCTGCTTCAAGTATAATATAATTGTGTTCTTCATAAATTCCATAACAACGTTCACTGTTGCCACTCTTCTCTTCTGTAGCATAGATTTTCTCTACAACATTATCATATCCTAATCCATTATTATCCTCACTACTTTCTGCTTCCATCTCACTCTTGTTATTACTATTCTCATTCAAATTTCCAACTACATCATGATTGGGCAACTTTTCTGCTTTTAGATTTGGCTTCACAAGGACACAGTTCTCAGAAAGAGAACAATTGTTATTCTCCTTATTATGAAGACTGCTATCATTTTCATCTAATGGCTCTGATTTCATAGTTGGTTCTACTTTAATCCTTGAGCTAACATTATGCCTCCTGTTTGACCCATTGAACTTTTCAGCCAGACGGCGCTGCCTTACTCTAACTGACTCAACTGTGAACTGAAAACCACCTGCAATAAAATAATCATACTTAATGGCTGTCTACCAATAGAAACATAATTCTATTTCTAACCAAGCCTTATTTCTTTTTCTAAAAATTCAAATCAGATACTCACTAATGTAATCATTACATTTCACAATCAATATCCTGCTTCCAAGAATTAATAATACAAAGTTTTGTAAGTACCAAGAAAACTTGCTTCTGCAAATAATATCTGCAGTGAACAACATGGATAGTCAACCAAATAAAACTGTGGTTGTGCATAATTAAGAGAAGGGTATGGCCTATCAATTTTACCAGCCAATGCAGAATAATACACATATAAATGACGTCTTGCTCATATTTTAACTCCTTCTAATCTGCTTCTAGCAAATATAACAAGCGTTCACCACACCAATGATACTGAAACATGATCTTATATTTTGGTCTGAAAGTTGTGCAATACTGTTATGTATTCCATATGCAGAAAATACCATATAATTATTTAACCAAGAGCGTGTTATTTGCTGAGCCAGTAAACACTTCCCTGCTGTGACACAACAGCAGAGGAGCTGCTGCTGCTAGGCAATGAGCCAGTAAACACCTCCCCACTGTGACGTAACAGCAGATGTGCTACTCGAGGTGACGTTTCCCACTTGTCCGATATATATATCGGCTGGAGCAGTGGTGTTGACAGAAACCTGTGGTTAGCCAGCACAGACAGTTCGACAGTTCGACATTCTAGTGAGAGTTGTTAACACGAAAGGACCGATTGTGAAATTACTTGTTCAACATCTTGTGTTATAGTTACGTGGAAGAGTAACAAAGTGACGTTGCAAGAAAACCCCCCTCGTGGTCTTGTTTCATGACAAGTGCAATAGGTTTTTGGAAGTGTGACTTTGGTTCCTCTTCTCGTTTACTTTCACTGAGGCAGTTACAACATTAACAGTCTAGGAACTTTCTGATACTACCTCATACTGTTTGTTTGTCAGGAACTACCATACACCTCTGCAGTAGTGAACAGGATTACTGCATTGTGCATAAACTGGCTGCTATATGTTAAAGCTTGAAAAATGCACTGCCACGGTAAACTGCCCACAAACAAATATACTCAAGACCTTCATACTGTCTAATATGAATGCAGCATTGACTTCATTGCAGAATTTTGTGGCTTTCATAAGTTTGCAAACCTTTAATCTTTCCTGACATCAATATGATACTGTCCTTCACATGAGTGGCCATACACCTCCACACACGCTTTTGTTCATTCACAATTTCAATCAATGGAAAACATTTTCAAAATTCTATTGCAGACCTAGTAATAACAGACTGCTCATTTAGTCCTCTTATTAATATCAATAAGAGTTAAACACTGCCATGTTAGAAAAACTTGTGAAAATTGTTATAGACTTCATTATTGGAAACATGCACATTTTTAGATATTTTATTGATTAATTAGGAGAAAAAGGTGAATGAAATAAGAACAGACACACATTAATTCAGAAACATACGCTCTGCTTTAAGTTCCAACTGGTGCACATGTTCCAAAAGATGACTCTTCATTTGTTGTCTGGCTTTACCCTCACTGCCAAAGCTTGAAAACTGCTGACGGCACTGCTCTGGTTCCATAAAACAAGTGAATGTAAATATCCTACGAATTTCATCACCATCAAACTCAGAGAACAGCTTCAGCAGATGGTTAGCTGTTAGTGATCGAAGGTGTTCTAGATCCATTGTGTTCCCTTCTCCACTTCGACTACGGCAAGCCATTCGCTGTTACACGCAAATACAAGAAATGGCACTATATAAATTTTACATGTTTCAATACTAATAAATAATTTTCCAAGGGAGTAAAGTAGAGCCAGCGCGTAAGGCTGACAACCTTACCGCCATCTTTGAGCTGATTGTCTAGATAATGTGGGACCCTCAATGTCTCACAACCCTATGGGCCTTCACGGCCTGTTACAGGGATAGCTTTACCTTTTTTTTTAAATATCAATGACAAATATGAAATTGGGGGCGTCCTTACAGATTCTGGTGCCTTATTTATCGGGTGATTCTATACTGTCCTGGTTTCTGTGGCCTATAATTTTCAGTTTTTATGTGCTATGAAAGGCAAACATGTTGAAGTTGTTTAGCATTCTGCAGTAATAACACTTTTTTAGTTACACTTTCATATTCAGTATGCAGTTTTATTTCTGGTTTGAAAATTACAAGCCACAGATACCCCAACAATAATTTAGAATCACCCTGTACTATTTCAACAATTATTAACAGTTTTTGCCTTTCTGACAGTGATGAATTTCTGAAGGGCAGGTCAGTGATCCAAAATTCCTGCTACCTCTGCATACCATTTAAAAAATGATTCACTGCCTGAATTTAGTTAGAACAGAAACCCATGATGAAGACTAAAGGTAAAATTTGTGTAAAATAAGTCATTCTATGAATCATCATCACTACAATTTTAAATACTCTTCTGTAATTTCTTACAAGAATTAATATCTCAAAACTAATCTAAAAAGAAGCAATGAAAATTTATAATGGTTAACCTTTTTCTTGTTTGAAAGGTGACAACTGAGGTCTGCTGCTCTTTTGGCTTGTCTCTTGATTGGTGACAACTTAACACTTGGATCAGAATGTAAAGTTTGTGATGCAACTTCAGCCAGCATATCAAGAAGAGCTCCTGAGCAGCCCTTCCTTTCAAGCTGATCATCACTGCAAGAGTCTGCCTCTGTAAAAGCAGTTTCCAGTTATGTTAAAACAAAATTATGATGATCATAATGGTTCAAAGCAAAGTGTGCGGTAAGACAAGGAACTGTACTGTCACCCATCTTAATTAATGTCATGATAGATGAAACTGCTAGTTAGAGAAAACAAATGAACCAGATAAAAGAACACTAATACTTGCACAGTATGTTCACTGATGTTGCCCCCCAGTGAAAAGGACTTAAATCATCAGAACCATACTACAAAGAAATATGGATTAAAAATGAACACAGATAAGATGCTGACTATGATTATTCAAGGGCCCCAGACACAAATATCTGAATAAAACTTCATACAACAATGGTTAAACATGCTGACATATTTATCTGGGAAAATTAAATAAATTTAAAGCAGAAAACTGATAAAGAGATTAACAGCAGAATAAGAAAGTGCTAAATTTTATGACTACATTTACTCTTTCCATGGAGCTGAGCTCTTCTTGAGAAGCTACCAGATGTACAGCTACTCGAGAATTATGAAATTATAGTGGTGAAAAAAGGCTTACAGGCTTTAATAAGCAAAAATTCCCAGTCAGCATACGTCCAGAAGCTAATGCCTCCTGAGATATTGGCGATGTTCATGTGAGCTCTACAACAGATGGTCTATGTGATTCTCATGTATTTCAACATAACTTTCAGCTCTCAGTCACACAGAGGTGTGCACTCTGTTGAAAATTCCTTGTTTCACGCCAATCTCCTGACATGCATTCTCTACTGATTGCTGTGATACCATTTAGTCATTGATTGGTGCTGAATACACCAGCCTTTGGGTGGTCCAACAGCCAGAAATCCAGAAGATTAAAGTCAGGGGATCAAACAGGCCAGTTCACTGGGCCTCCAATCCTACCCACTATTCACAGAAGTCTGGTTCTGTGCTGCCTGACAATGCAGAGAAAATGAGATGGTGCAGCATCATGCATGGATGTGTTATCATTTATGAAGAGGTGCATGTTCCAAGAGTACTGGAAAATCATTCACCAAGAAATGATGGTACACTGAACCGGTTAGTCTGCTGAGTAAGACAACTGGTCCAAAGACCTGATCACCTAACAGGCCCACACAGACATTGATGGAAAATCGATGCTGACGTCTTAATGTCACAATGGTGTGGGGACTGTCACCCACCCAGACAGGGTATTATGAAAGTTCACATCACTGTCCCTTACACATCCCACCTCATCAGTAAATCGGATGTTAGCTAAAACTATGTTTACAATGCATTTTGCAAGAAGCCACTGGCAAAACACCACCCTTGCATGACAGTCAGGAGGAGTGGGGGCTTCCATTCACTGGATTTGGTATGGGTAGAGTGACTGCTCATGGAGAATTCTTGAGACATAGGAACACCGATAATTCGAGCAGCTGCAATTCTTCATATGCTGGTTCCGGGATCTTCTTCCACTCTTCTCAATATGCAAACTTCCATATCAGGAGTTCAAACTGATCACGGTCTTTGGCAATCCGATGTCCACAGAGCTAAGGACCCAGATTCTCTGTCGCTCATGATGTGTCATGAATAATTTATGGGAAGGGATTCTGCATACTGGAAAATGTTCTGCATAGAAGCAACGTGTTTCCTGAAAATATCCACTGGCATGGCCATACATGAAATGCATCTGTGCCATTTCCTGTGCAGAGGAGTAAGATCCCATTACAGAACCACTAAATGGATTTCAAATGGAACAAGTATCATAGCACCATCAGTGATTTTTCTTTAGTGGTGTATTAGTAGTGCATCTACTGAGTCTACTGACATTCACAACATGAGCAAGGGTATGGTAAACAAAAGCATGTGATACACACGACCTTCTCTTAATGCATACTGTAATGTTATCCTCGTATCCAATTAAATGCATAACTCTTCATACCATAGGAGACACTGATTTTTGGACATATCTTGACTGGGACTTATTTGCTCATTTAGATGAGTACTATACCCCCTTAGAAGCCTGTAACCCCTGTTAACACTCTGCATAAGTAATATTGTGGAAAGGATATCGGAAAAAACGATGCAAAACAACAATCTATACAGTATATTTTAAGCCAGTACTAATATGAATGCTAAGTCATGGATTGGAATGCATATAGGATATTGGTGGGAAAGCCAGAAGGAAAGAGACCACAGGGAAGACCAAGGTGTAGGTGGGTGGACAATATTAAAATGGATCTTAGACAGATAGGATGGGATTATATGGATTGGATTGATCTGGCTCAGGATAGGGACCAGTGGAGGGCTCTTGTGAACATGGTAATGAACCTTCAGGTTCCACAAAATGCTGGGAAATTCTTGGGTAGCTGCAGAATTGGCGGTTCCTCCAGAAGGGCTCAGCTCCATAAGTAAGTCATGGATCGTTATGAGAAACAAAAAGCAGAATCCAAACAATTGGGGGGGGGGGAAGGAAACATGCAGAATTTAGAAATGAGATGTTTAGAGAAAAAATTGAAGTTCAAAGTTTGCTAACACAACAGAAATAATTTAAATGTTTTGACCATCTAAAAAGAAGTGATGAAACAAGAATATGAAGAAGTGCATTCAAAATTAAAGCTTAAAGGGAAGAAGCCTATGGGATGACCCCAAAAAAGATGATTGAAGTGGAAGACATCAAAAATAGTTGTAAGCCTTACCAAGAAATAAAAAACGAAAGACAATTAGAAAAAAAGAAGACTCTGGAGATTTTTCATCCATTGATCTGTATAAAACAGATATGATAGTGATGAGGAGGAAAGGAACGGTGTAGTATCACTGTCACCTCCTCTGAAAAATTTTATGTGAATTATATCTTCATGCCATCTGTACGCTATCAATACTTAATTGCGTATCTTCCCATCAGAAGAAGTCCAGTCATCAGCATAAGACAACATCTGACTGAAACAATTCAACACCTGCCCTTCCTGAGTCTCTTGGATTTTCCACACAGCATATTCTACAGAAAAGATGAATAAAGCATCACCTTCTTTTAGTCCTGTGTGAACTGGGAAAGCATCAGATTAATGTTGACCTAAATAAACTCTACTTAACACCTCCTTAGACTTATTCCCTGTACTAATAATAAAACTTTAGCACAAAAGAGCATCAAAGGCCCGCATAATGATATAAGTTTGGAAGCCACAAAACTGTTCAACAGATAGAGGTTTGTGCATCAGTAAGATGGAAAGAGAAGAACAAAAATGAAAACAGTACAATTCAATCAGTTTGCATTATGACCCATAACACTTCACGTACCTTGCTTGTATCTTGCATACATGACTCCTTGTTGGCTAGATCTCACAGGAGCGACAAGACTGCACATGGGTTGGAGAATACTGCAGATACTGGACTGGTGCCTCATACTGTAATAATGCACTGTCTTCTGTCAACTAATGAAACAAATTTATTCCATGTCTCTAGACAAATCCGGCACATACATTTAATGTAACAAAATGTGTATAACAGTTGCAGCCGAGACTGTTCTACTGCATAGTAGAATTCTGAGTCAACTTTACACGTTCAGTTTTTTCTTTAAAACTTAACATTACTGTTGTATGAGAGATTATTTCTATGTGATTAGCTAAAACACCGCCCTTCATTGTTATATTTTGAAAAACTAACCATTTAAATTGGCTTCTGACAGGATTTGAATTTTGGTTTTTTGGTAGGAAATAATAAGGGGCACACAGTAGTGTAGTTGGTTGAGGCACTATGCTACAAGCCGGAAGGTCGCGGGTTCAAGTCCCGGTGAGGTCATTGGATTTTTTTAATTGACCTAATCCTTCCAGCTGCACTATGGCCATGGGGTCGACTCAGCCTCTAACAGAAATGAGCGCCAGGAATATTCTTGGGTGTAAAGGGCGGCTGGTGCATAGGGCTGACAATGTTGCTGCCATCTATGAGCCAATTGTCTAGAGAAAATGTGGGAACCTCAACATCTCACAACCCCACGGCCTGTTACAGGGATACCTTTACTTTACTTAGTATGAAACATTTTGTCATATACAGTGGAACCCCTCTCCCCATTACATGCAGTGTGATACAGCTCTGAATGGATATGGAATACAGTATACAGTGGAACCTTGCTTAACGAGCACCTCTCATAACGAGTNGTGTGGTGGGCTGACAATGTTGCTGCCATCTATGAGCCAATTGTCTAGAGAAAATGTGGGAACCTCAACATCTCACAACCCCACGGCCTGTTACAGGGATACCTTTACTTTACTTAGTATGAAACATTTTGTCATATACAGTGGAACCCCTCTCCCCATTACATGCAGTGTGATACAGCTCTGAATGGATATGGAATACAGTATACAGTGGAACCTTGCTTAACGAGCACCTCTCATAACGAGTAATTCACATAACGAGCAAAAAAACAAATTGTAAAAAAATGACTTGCTTAACGAGCAACGTATTGCATTACGAGTGATGAGAGGGGAAGCCCCGGATTGTGCGCTTGCTACATCAGTCTGTGTTTAGCACTCGTTCCGCTAGCATCTTAGTGTCGCTTGTGATCACACATTTTTCCAAACTTGTGTTCAGACATATTATTTCTGATTTTCTTTTGTGCAAAGTTTAATAACCCTTGCAAAAATGTCCCTGAAGAAAAAACCGCAAAAAGACAGCCATAAGAGAATAAAAATAACCGTAGAAATGAAACATAAAATCATTTAAAAGCGTGAACTATGTGTGAGCGTGGCTGATCTAGCACGCACATACAATCGGTCTACATCAACGATTTGCATAATCTGGAGTTGCACTGTGTTTCACAGCAAGAAGTTGTGGAGGAGAGTTTGTCAGAGGAGGAGGAGGAGGAGGTAACAGCAAAGCAACAATCTTCTGGTGCAATAAGAGAAATGCTGAAAGCATGGGAAACTGTTGCATGGTACAGAGAAGCATCACCCTAATAAGGCAGTGGCTATGCGCACTACAAATTTATTTAATGATAATGCTGTGTCGCATTTTCTCCAAATTTTGAAGCGTCGGTAAAAACAAATGTCTCTAGACAGCTTTCTAGTAAAAAAGAATTATATATGTATCATAAATAATAAACTAATTATTTTGATTTTTTTTTTCTGCAAATCGAATTCGCATTCCAGGTTGGTTCATTCCGCATAGAAGAAAAGATGAAGATGACTCATGCTCCTTAACAATGTATATATAATTTTCTTTGAATAAACGTTATATATAAATTTTTTTTGAGTATTTTTTTCAGCATGGAACGCATTATCGTATTTTACATTAATTTATATGAGAAAAATTGTTTCGCTTAACGAGTATTTCACGTTAGGAGTAAGAGTCTGGAACGAATTATACTCGTTAAGCAGGGCTGGACTGTACATCATGAGTATATATGACATTCTGCTACTATCTATACAAGTTGATATAATCAGTAAGGCTGCCATAGTATGTTCCAATTTGAGTGCTGGGAAATTTGGAAGTCATTAACTCTTGATATCACTGAGTCAAGAGACCAGTGGTTTTGAAATGTAAATCAAAAGCAGAATGCTCGAAATGAAGTGGCAAAAAATGTACAGTTTTTATAGAAATTTTCATATGGTATAACCCCTAAAAATATATCCACATTTCCATGCATTCATAGACTGCAAATGCAAAGCACAATCTAGGTTAGAGCTAATTGAACAGAAGTGGATGAAAAGGGAACCTTAATGCCTTCCCATATTCTTGGCTGTGCTGTCTCCACATTTTATGCTTTTCAACATTCCAAGAGAAACAGCTTAAGAAACAGTTATCAGCAGGCATAAAGATATTTTTTGCAGCTGTCTGAGCCAACGAAAATCAATGTAGCATATAATTTACTACTATTGGTTTTATATAGAATTTTAAGGCAAAAGTAAAGTTGTCCATGTGCTTAATTAATTACCAAAACATTAAGATACCTTGGCACAAGATGGGGGTGAGTGGGTCAGTTTCATGCCTTGGCCTTTATCCCTAGGGAGAAAGCCTTCCCCATTATACATTGGACAGGAGGCTGGGTAGGCCCCAAAAGCCAGTCTGAATGCTGTAAATAGAAAAATCTCCTGCCCTTACCAGGAATTGAACACTGGCCCTAGCCTGTCATTATACCAATTGAGCTATCCTGGCTCCTATATAAAGTTCTATGTCGCCCGAATACACATATTTCCCAATTTTTAACGTAAATAAATATTTTGGGGCACACAAATAACACTGAATAATGTATGTCTTAGTGACTGTATGAATCAATATTTCACAAGTTTGCACTGCCTGTTATCAGAGTGCTGAGATATGTAACACACATCACCCAGCATGTACCCTTCTTTGTTTTGACATAAGGATCCCTGCTCAGGATTCCAGATATTTAGCTGTAAGAGGAGTAAAAGTGACACCTGATGACTGATGAAGAATCAGTTATCTGTGTTTTGGTGGCCCAATCAAGAACTCAAAAGAGCCGTTACAACCATTGCTATTGAGCGACAAATACTGGCTGCTACAGATCTTCATGAAGACTGTTCATAGTACTGCAGTTTTCTAATTTATCTATGGTGAAGCAGTTGAGGTTTACAAGAATCAAAAAAAGAAGATCTAGTTACAGTCCCCATTTTTGTCACTATGTTAGGGAATTCAAGGGTGTGCTCACATCTGATGAAGTTCTCTTTTACCAGGCATGTGTCAATCTATTGTCATGAAACAGTATTCTCAAGTTACACAATATATAAGTGCAAGCAAGCACACTGCCTTCCTTGCTGGCTTAAAGTTCGGCCATGCACGCAATCTCTAACTGGTGAGTCTTCTGCTATAAATTCTTCTTCAAGGTCTCCCAAACTTTCCACTTTTATAACAGATAATTGCAACATATTTGTGTCTACAGATATATAACTTTTAAAAATAAATAATCCCAACATTAAGAATTTCATCCTAAAGTACACTTGGACAGATCCTCCAGATGGGTCATCAAGGAAGTTTCATAACAAAATATGGAACAAAATTCCACTACTGTGTGCAAAAGAAATATTTGAGTGTTTATAGATGAAACAATTAATGCATATGGAAAGATTGTAAATGCTGTTCTTGGGGTTTTGAAAAATGATCAAATACTGTCACAGAAATCATGTCTTCTGTCTTGTCAGGTAATGTCTGCAGTGAATCATACAACAATATCATATGTTCTGAATAAAGCTATGCAGACTATAGCCAGCTGGTGTGAAATTTGATGTGCTGTTGCTAGTTACAGATGCCACAATATACAAGAAAAGAATAGCAGAGGGGCTTTTCCATGAGCTACCCTAAAATTGTACATGTTACATGTGTAGCACATGCTTTGCATAGGGTCTGTAAAACGAACTGTATATATTATCCAAATGTAAACAAGTTGGTGAATAATTGGTAGTAAAGCTTTGTGATATCACCGGTTAGAATACAGCTCTTCAAAAGCAGACCTCCAATTATACCATTCTTTGCTAATTCCAGAAACTACACATTGGGGAACCTGGTTGGATGCCATTTTGTATTATGCAGAAAAATATTTTGTTCTGTGCTACATATATCCACAATTTCTTACAGTTCAATATAAAATAACCTACCATGCACTTTTGACAGCATTTCCTATACTGGAATAAGTGCCTGACCTGCTCAAGGTAAAAGTGTCACGCTCACACACTTCGCCAATAGCAAAAACTGAGGGGGGGAAAGTGAGTTATACATCAAAAGTAGGCTAAAAGATTAATACAAGGTAAGAATTCATACTCAATTGATTAGACTAAGGTAATGTGAAAGGTGGAAACTCTGAAAACTTACATATAATTCCAGCAAATGGGCGACAGTTATCCACATAATCCTGCACCTCTCCCTGTTAGCTGAAGTGGAAGACTGAACTCACAGCTGGTTTAACCTCACTTACCATCACAAATTCGGATAGCCCTACTGTTCAGTATGGCAACTACATTACTACTCTGCTCTCATGGCCACACAAAAATCTTCAAAGTAGCATCTGACCAACACACTTTCTCTTGTCCTACTATACATTACTTTAAAAAATGTCAACTTTTTAGAGTATATTACTTGTATGGCGCATCAAATTAATATTTTCTAATTGTTTAGCACTAGAAAACACACCCTCTCACTCACTCATGGAGCGGAGCCCTTCTCGAGAAAACACCAAATGTGTAGCTACTCAAGAACTTCCCAGCATTTCATGGAACCTGTAGGTTCACTGCCATGTTCACAGGAGCCCTCCAATGGCACTTATCCTGAGCCAGATCAATCCAATCCACATAATCCCATCCTATCTCTCTAAGATCCCTTTTTAATATTGTCCACCCACCCACGTCTTGGTCCTCATAGTGATCTCTTTCCATCTGGCTTTCCTACCAATATTCTACATGCCTTCCTATTCTCCCCCATTCATGCTACATGCCCTGCCCATCTCATCCTCCTTGACTTGATCATTCTAATCATACCTGGAGAAGAGTACAAGTTATAAAGCTCTTCATGATGCAGTTTTCTCTAACCTCCTGGCACTTCATCTCTCTTCGGTCCAAATATTCTCCTCAGCACACTGTTCTTAAACACCCCCAGTCTATGTCCCTCCCTTAGTGTCAGAGATCAAGTTTCACATACAAACAGAACCACTGGCAAAAATACAGTTTTGTATATTCTAATTTTTATGTTTTTAGACAACAGGTTCTGGACTGAATGGTAGCAAGCGTTACCTGAATTAGGTTTTGATTTGTTATCATCATTCCCAAATAAATGAACTGTGCCACATTTTCAAAACATCTGTTAGCACTCTTTATATAATGATTTTGTCATGCATTCTGGTGATGAGACAGCAACATATGCTTAGGTTTCTCTGTGTTTACTTCTAGACCAACTTCCTTATTAGCATCAATTAAAAGTCTGTGCGTTTTTCTTTAAGGTATCTATATTGTGATGTATTTGCGCTATGCAGGACATCCCCTCCTCCGCCAGCGGTGATGTAACAGCACTGGAGCCGCTGCCGCTGCTATGGTAACAGGCCAGTCAACCCCCC